GGGGGGGGGGGGCATCCCGATGCAGCCCTCGCAGTACTGGCTTGGCTTCGTCCTAGATTCTGCCGAGGAAGGAGAGGGTTACGCTGCGCACGCTGCTCGGCCCTCTAAGACGCGGGGATGACTCCAAACGGCTTAGGGAGCGGACACTACGTGGGCGACTCACCACGGGCCGAGGGACCGTTCAGTTCAGATACTACGTGCCCTAGGGCACCCATTAGGTTCAGTACTCTATTGGAGTTCATAGGGACCCCATGATACTTTCCCCCCGGAATACACAAATGTCATGCGGTCCCTGCGAACTCCCATGATGACCTCGCCAGTCAGCGAGCGCAGGGTTCGGTTCGGTCCGCACCCGTTCGGGGCGCGGCAGCTGGCCAGCGTCTGGGTGCGCCCATCCCCCAACGTGCCTAATCCGTCGCGAAATTCGCCAGCAGCGCCGCCACCACTCGTCTCGTCTCTGCCTGGATTCGTATCGCAGAAGAACGACGGTATGGGCGTTCAGCAACTGGAATAGGCACCTGCGGCCCGCGGCCCGCGGACCCGACACGCCGTGCTGGCCGGCCGCAGCAGCCACGCCGATCATTTGCGACAATTCGGCGGGTTTATTCCTTTGGTCGGGCAGCTAACTATTCTAATACTTGTTTTCGTAGTCATGCACGTCAATTTTTTAGTGACTCTTTGTTGCCGATGCCCGTTCGATTGTCGTCCGTTCAATTCTGTAAGAGCAGTTTCCAGAAGGCGAGTGGGTCTGCTTCTGCTTTACCCCGCTCTACCACCCCTCCGCCTCCTGCCCACACACAAGCACACACCAGGTCGGGCCAAACCGCCTGGCCTTGAAGTGACCCCCGCCCTGCCGTTCTCTGGTCGACGGTGCTGGCCGCCGCGAGGAAACCGCGCGCCGAGTGGAGTGGGTTCGCGTCCATGGTGGGGCGGGGCGGGGCGGGGCGGGGCACGGCGTGGCATTCCCCGTTGATTAAGCCCAGACCCCCATCCGGCTCCGTTCCCGTAAGGGCTGGTGTAGCCTAACGGGCTCGGTTGGAGACGGGGCGAGGCGAAGCGTGGCAGGCTGGGCGAGGCGGGGCAGGGGGCGGTGCGGGGAGTACACCAGATGTACAGGAATGTCCGGGGCCGGCGAAAGAGGCGAGGCAAGGGCTTGCAAGAGCGCCCCGACCGGCCCCGCCCGGCCCCGCCCGGCCCC